CTGTTCTGCTGGCCTTTACGGTGGGAGAGGGAAATGAAACACTGAAGGAGCTCACCATCTAGAGATAGAGACAATTTCAGTGCTCCATAGATACGTTTGGGGAGCTGTGGGATCACAGAAAATGTGGTAATTAAGTCAGGGGCAAAGATGGGTGAAGTAGCATGGTGTGCATGACCAGAAGGTGGGCTTGGAAGAGTTGACAAGGTCCTTGTATTAACAGCACAATGAAACCTTAGATTTCACTTTTGAAGTCTGGAATAATGATATTCCCTAAACTGGATCTTCCATTCTTTCTTTTTTTTTTCTTTGTGAATGGCCCTACTGCTATGTCTCATTAGAGGCAGTCAGAAATCCAGGATACTCTTCCCTGGCCCCATATGTACATTGATGACATCAAGCAGCTGACTCAAAATGTAATAAAAATAATGGCAGCTAAAGTTTTTCCTCATTTGCCAGGTACCAGACTTTCTGCCAAGTGCTGTGTGTGAACAGTACCTATTTGTTTTGTACTATTATTATCTCGATTTTATATCTGAGGAAACTGATACACAGAGAGGTTAAGTTGCCCAAGATCTCAGCTTGAGAGAACTGGGATTTGAACTTGGACAATGTGGCTTCATATATTGCACTTGTGATCTTTATACCATACTCAGATATGATCCATGGGAAATAGTCTAGGGTCCTGATATATTCAGTTCTATGTATGATTTGGGTAAGTTACCTGTTAATTTTATTACAGTTTGCAGGTGTTTCTCTTCCTAGGACTTATAGATGGTTTAAGAAATACTTGTAGTATAGTCAGTTGTCTTGAGAACCACTTGAAATGCAATCACTATATGTAAAGACAGATGGACAAGAGAGGAAGGCGAAAGGAGCTAGGAGTTTGTTTATTCAAAGTTCCCACTTTCTGTGGCTTGGAAGGGTCAGTAGGATTTAGGTATGCAGAGAACAGGTACACTGCAGAGTGATTTGGATATTTTTGTTTTACGTTTGTCTTTGCAGGACCCAGCCTAGATGCCCACTTGGGAGGCCGGAAGCACCGGCATCTGGTAGAACTACGAGCTGCCCGAAAGGCCCAGGGACTTCGAAGTGTGTTTGTCAGTGGCTTTCCCCGGAATGTGGATTCTACTCAGCTCTCTGAGTACTTCCAGGCATTTGGACCTGTGGCCAGTGTCGTCATGGATAAGGACAAGGTAGAATGAATGGCTCTGAGGGTAAATGATGAGTTAAGTATGCCACATACCAAGAGAAATTAGGAGTCTGTTTTGGCTGGTTCCTAATGTGTCTGGTCCCTGGTGGACACCCCAGTACTTGGACACCACAGTACGTTTTGTTGTTAATTTTTTTTTCATTGATTTTTTAGAGTGAAAGGGAGGGGGGTAGAGAGAGAGAGAAACACTGATGTGAGAGAGATACATTGGTTGCCTCCTGTATGCGCCCCCACCAGGGTGGAGGATCGAACCTGCAACCCAGGTATGTGCCTTTGACTGGGAAATGAACCTAAGACCCCATAGGTGCTGGGGCCAACACTCTAACCACTGACCCATACAGCCAGGGTGGACTAGTCCAGCTCTGTGAATACCACAAAACTTGGATTTTCTCAGTTCACCAGAGTTAGTCACTGGGGCACTTGTTGGCTATTTATCTATTAATCAATCTTTTATTTGCCAATTTTATTTTATTTTTGTAATTTCTTATTAAAAAATATTTTTTTCTTTATTGATTTTTAGAGAGAGGAAGGGAGAGGTAGCGAGAGAGATAGAAACATAGATTAGAGAGAACATCGATTGGCTGCCTCCTGCATGCCCCCCACTGGGGATTTGGCCCACCACCTGGGCATGTGCCCTGACTAGGAATCGAACTGTTGACCTCCTGGTGCGTGGGTCGACGCTCAACCACTGAGCCATACCAGCTGGCCTACCAATTATATTTTAACTGCTAACTTTGTGTTTTCTGTTTTTTTTCTAATAAACTTTATTTTATTTATTTTTTGGTACGTGCCCCTAGCGGGAACTGAACCCAAGACTCTGGTCTGCGGGCCAATGCTCTAACTGCTGAGCAAAACTGGCCAGGGCATTAACTGCTAACTTTGTACTAGGCACTGTGCTTAGAGCTGCATTCTTTAAAAAAAAAAAAATCATTGACACTATTACAGATGTCCTCCATTTTTCCTCTGTTTGCCCACCTCCACCAAGCCCTCCCTTGGCCTTCACCACTCTGTTGTCTTTGTCCATGGGCCATGTATATATGTTCTTTGGCTATTCTCTTCACCTTCTTTTATCCGGTCCCCCCCATGTCCCTCCCCTCTGACCTCTGTCAGTCTGTTACATGTATCCTGCCTCTGGTTCTGTTTTGTTAATTTATTTTGCTCATTAGATTCTACATATAAGTGAGATCATATGGTATTTGTCTTTCTCTGACTGGCTTATTTCAATTAGCATAATAATCTCCAGGTCCATCCATTCTGTTGCAAAGGGTAAAACTTCTTTTTTTTTTTACAGCCACATAGTATTCCATTGTGTAAATGTACCACAGTCTTTATTTTTTTTTAATGTTTTTTTTCTTACTGATTTTAGAGAGAGAGGAAGGGAGAGAGAGAGAGAGAGATAGAAACATTGATGAGAGAGAACACTGATTGGCTGCCTCCTACATGCCCCCCACTGGGGATTTGGCCCACAACCTGGGCATGTGCCCTGACTGGGAATCAAACTGGCAGCCTCTTGGTACATGGGTCGACCCTAAACCACTGAGCCACACTGGCCAGGCAACCACAGTCTGTGTATCCACTCATCTACTGATGGGCACTTGGGCTGTTTCCAAATCATAGCTATTGTAAATAATACTGCTATGAACATAGGGGTGCATATATTCTTTCTGATTGGTGTGTTAGGATTCTTAGGATATATTCCCAGAAGTAGGATTGCTGGGTCAAACAGCAATTCCATTTTTAATTTTTGAGGAAACTCCATACTGTTTTTCAGTGGATGCACCATTTTGCATTCCCACCAACAGTGCAATAGGGTTCCCTTTTCCCCACATCCTCGCCAGCACTTGTTTGATTTATTGATGATAGTCATTCTGGCAGGTGTGAGGTGATACTGCATTGTAGTTTTAACTCGCATGATTAATGATGTTGAGCATTTTTTCATATGTCAATTGGACATCTTTATGTCTTTTTTTTTTTTTTTTAATGTTTTTATTGATTTTTTAGGGAGAGAGAGATAGAAACATTGACATGAGAGAGAAACTTCGATCGGCTTCCTCCTGTAATCCCCTCATTGGATATCAAGCTTGCAACTCTGGCATGTACCCTGACCGGGAATTGAACTGGTGACCTCTTGTTGCATAGGTTGACACTCAACCACCGAGCCACACCAGTTGGGTCCTGTGCCCAGTTTAATCGGATTACTTGCCTTCCTGGTATTGAGGTGTATAAGTTCTTTATATATTTTAGAAATTAACCCCTTATCAGATGTATCATTGGCAAATATGTTCTTCCATATAGTGGGTTCCCTTTTCATTTTGTTGATGGTTTCTTTTTCTGTGCAGAAGCTTTTTAGTTTGATGTAGTCCCATTTGTTTATTTTTTCCTTTATTTCTTTGCCCTAGAAGATATACTGGCAAAAATAACGCTATGCAAGATGTCTGAGATTTTATTTATTTATTCATTTATTTATTTATTTATTTATTTTTTGTCCTCACCCGAGGACATTTTTCCATTTTTTGTTCAGATAGAGTGGGAGAAGGAGAGAGAGGGAGAGAAACATCGATGTGAAAGGGACACATCGAGTGGCTGCCACCCGCATGACCCAACTAGGGCCGGGGACAAACTGCAACCGAGGTACATGCCCTTAGCGGGAACCGAACCCGGGTCTCTCTGGACCGCAGGCCGACACTCTAACTGCTGAGCCAAACCGGCTAGGGCGATGTCTGAGATTTTATTGCCTGTTTTCTTCTAGGACTTTTATGGGTTTGCAACTTACATTTAAGTCATTTATCCATTTTGAGTTTATTCGTGTGTGGTGTAAGTTGGTGGTTTAGTTTCATTTTTTTGCATGTACCTGTCCAATTTTTCCAACATAGAGCTGCCTTCTGAGTGGTGAATAGGATAGATATGGTCCCTACTCGCACAAAACTTAGTCTAGTGGAGAAAGTAGACAGTTAAATGAGTAGTAATTATGGTGAAGTTGGTGCTTTATTTATTTATTTCAGAATATTTTTTAATTGATTTTATAGAGGAAGGGAGAGGGAGAGAGACATCGATGAGAGAGACCATCAGTTGGCCGCCTCCTGCATGGCCCCCACTGGGGACTTGGTCCACAACTTGGGCATGTGACCTGACCAGGAATTGAACTGGCGACCACCTGGTCGACGCTCAACCAGTGAGCCAAACCGGCCAGCCCAATCACGTGGTTTTAAAGCATGCACTTCGCGCCTGGCTGGTGTAGCTTGCTGGTTGGGCATCAGCCCATGCACCAGGAGGTTGTCAGTTTGATTCCTCATCAGGTCACATGCCCAGGTTGTGGGCCCAATTCCCAGTGAGGGGCATGTAGGAGGCGGCCAGTCGATGTTCTCTCTCAGTGATGTTTCTTTCTCTCTCCTTTAATATTAAAAAACAAAAAAGCCCTGGCCGTTTTGCTCAGTGGTTAGAGCGTCAGCCTGTGGTCCAGAGAGACCCGGGTTTGGTTCCCGCTAACCGCACGTACCTCAGTTGCAGTCTGTTCCCTGGTTGGGTCATGTAGGTGGCAACCATTTGATGTGTCCCTTTCACGTCGATGTTTCTCTCTCTCTCTCTCTCCTTCCCACTCTATCTGAACAAAATATCAGAAAAAATGTCCTCGGGTGAGGATAAAAAAAAACAAAACAAAAAAACCCCACATGATTGGGAGCCTTATCCTAATCCCACAGAGACTGGTTGATAAATCAGCTAGCAATTCATTAACTTACACTGAGGGCTTGAGGTTATCTGGTCAGAACACTCTGTCCTCTGGACAGTGCTGGGCAAACAAGCTTGTTCTCTGTGGTCTTGTTTGTCTTGCTTCCATGCAGACCTTTTGTCAAGTCTCTCTAGTCTTTTGACAAAAGTGCATTGTTGCAGTTTGCACCCTGGTTATATAGGTATGGCTTAGGCGATCCCAAGTCTTCTTTTAGAATGGGATGGGGCTACAAAGAGAAATTAATGAATTAAAAAAAAAAGAGAGAATGGGATGGGGTCTGCTTTTCTTAGGGATTGCATTTAGCAACTGACCCACATGGGTTCAACAAAAGGGGTTCAATTGTTCTCTTATAACAAGAAGTGCAGGGTTTTACTGTTTTTTTGCTCTGTCATTGGCATGTGACTTGTACTTTATAGATGTGATAATGCTGCTTCTATGTCTTCAGGTAAGAAGAAGGGGCAGGTTGAAGGGCAGAGTATAAAAGGCTGGTACCTACTGAGTCTGAGTCTCCTGCCCAACTTTTCTTTATTTTCAAGGAAAATATTTTTTTCCTGAGACCTCTTCAGTAGACTTCTCTTTATATCTCATTAGCCAGAACTCTTATCACATGATTGTACCTAACTATAGGCAAGCCTGGGAAATAAATTTTTTTTTAGCTGGGTACTTGCCCTTCTGAACAAAAATTGGGATTCTGTTAGTAAGGAAGAAAGGGAGAATGCATATTTGGTGGGCATTTGGCAGTGTCTGTCCTGGGTTACTTTTCAGAAAGCTCAATGTCCTCATTTTTGTTCATATTTATTTCGTTTGTAAAAATTGATCTTTTTCTGAACTTAAACCTCAAGTTTCTGAGACTTTTAATTGACTGGCTGGTGTGGCTCAGTGGATTGATTGTGGTCCCACTGACTGAGAGGTCCTGGTTTGATTCCCGTACAGGGCACGTGCCCGAGTTTCGGGCTCGATCCCTGGTAGGGGGGCGTGCAGAAGGCAGCCCATTGATGTTTCTCACATTGATGTTTCTCTCTTTCCCTTCCTCTCTCTCTAGAAAATCAATAAAAACATATTGTAAAAAGAGACTTCTAATTACTATAACAATTATAACCAAAGTTTTATTTTGATATATGTTTTTATTGAATTTTTAGAGAGAGAGGAACAGAAGAGAGAGAAACATTGACGTGAGAAACATCAATCGGCTATCTCTCGCATGCCCCCTACTGGGGATTGAGCCCGTAACATGGCATGTGCCCTGACTGGGAATCAAACCTGTGACCCTCCTGTACATGGGCTTCAACCACTGAGCCATGCTGGCCAGGGCTGTGCTAAGTATTTTACATACACTATCTCATTAAACTCCACAACAGTTCCTTAAGGGAGATCGTCACTGGGAGGTGGAGATTTGGGGGTTTAAGCCTTTACTTGGGTGACAGTCAAAAGATACTCAACTTCTTTGAGTTTAGATTCTTAATTTGTAAAATGGGAATAATAATACATGTCTTGTGGGAGTCTTATGAAACAGAAATTATTTGTGAACTGCTTGGTTTAAAATAAGCTCTCAGACCTAGAGAGTATTATGCTAAGAGAAATAAGCCAGTCAGAGCCCTGGCAGGTTTTGCTCAGTGGTTAGAGTGTCAGCCCGTGGACTGGAGAGACCCGGGTTCGGTTCCTGTTTAGGGCTCATACCTTGGTTGCACTTTGTCCCTGGCCCCAGTTGGGATCATGTGGGTGGCAACCACTAGATGTGTCTCTCTCACGTCGATGTTTCTCTCTCTTTCTTCCTCCCTCTCTCCCTCCCGCTCTATCTGAAGATAAATGCAAAAAAAAAAAAATTACTAAAAAAAGAAATAAACCAGTCAGAGAAAGATAAGTATCACATGATCTCACTGATTTGTGGAATATAATGAACAATCAAGCTGATGAACAAAATAGATCCAGAGACATGGAAATAGAAAACAGACTGGCAAACCTCAGAGGGACTGGGGGTGGGGGAGAGATAAACCAAAGAACATACATGTGTATATGCACAACCAATGGACACAGACAACAGTAAGGTGAAGGTGAGGGTAGGAGGGTAGGGTATGTCAATGGAGAAAAAAAGGAAGAACATCTGTAATACTTTCAACAATAAAGATTAAAATGAAAAAGTAAAATAAGCCCTCAGTATATGGTGGCTGTAGCTGGGGATGTTGGTATTGAGAGGAGAAAAATGGTTAGTAGACAGACTTCTGAACCTGCTAATCCTGCCCTCGCTGACATTTTCTAAGGGGGTTCTTGAGGGAAATACGTGCACAGAGACAAGGGCAGGCAAAGAGACACCTGGGACTTTGGTTGCAAACTTGGTGTTGAACCATAGTGTGGTGAGCTGTGTGATTTCTCAGAGTCAGAAGAATAGTTTGGGCAGGTCCAAGCAGCTGCCTTTCTCCTTTGGTTCTTTTCTCTCTTTGGCAAAAGGGTAGAAATGAGGGTAGGAAGGGCACCCTCCTCGATTTTATTTTCATTTAAGATATGATGTACACAGCATATTTCACCCTTTTTTAATTTTTAATTTTTATTGAATTTATTGGGGTGACATTCGTTAATAAAATTATATAGGTTCCAATTGTACAGTTCTATAATACGTCATCTGTATGTTGTGTGTTCACCACCAAAGTTAAGTCTCCTATCTCCATTTATCTCCCTTTACCCTTTTCAACCTCCCCCATGCCCTAAAATCCACCCTTTTATTTATTTATTTTAATCCTCACTTGAGGATTTTATTTATTTTTATTTTTAAATATGTTTTTATTGATTTTTTAGAGAGAGAGAGGAAGGGAGAGAGAGAAACATCAATGTGAGAAACATCAATTTGGCTACCTCCTGCACGCCCCCTACCAAAGATCGAGCCCGAAACTCGGCATATGCCCTGAACGGGAATTGAACCAGGACCTCCCAGTCCATGGGACAACGCTCAATCCACTGAGCCGCACTGACCCGGCTATTATGTGGATTCTTAATCAATGTTAAAAGACTCTAATTAAAGGAGGAAAAGTGAGGGGATGGGTCTAAGTATAACCAGTGACATGACATTGGGAAGCATAGGGACGATGAAAGAGGTAAAATGAGATTTTCAGAGTCTGACTGGGGTGAGAGTAACACATGTGGGATTCAAGTGAAGGAAAGAATTGCTTCTCTAAGTATATTCCCGTGGTTCCAGAAAAACAGCAAGCCAATCTTCCTGATTTATAGGTGCTCCCCATTTCAAACTTTCTCGCCCACTGTTAGACCACATGTTTGGATTCTTGGTTGTAAGACCCTGTTGTGATTTTTCCAGGGAGTGTTTGCCATAGTGGAGATGGGGGATGTGGGTGCCCGGGAAGCTGTTCTGTCACAGCCCCAGCACAGCCTGGGAGGACATCGCCTGCGCGTTCGGCCACGGGAACAGAAAGAATTCCAGAGACCGGCCTCCAAATCTCCCAAAGGAGCGGCCCCTGACAGTCACCAGCTGGCCACAGCACTAGCCGAGGCCCCAGATGTTGGGGCACAAATGGTAAAGCTGGTGGGGCTGAGGGAGTTGTCCCAGGCTGAGCAGCAGCTTCGGAGCCTTGTGGTGGCCCTGATACAGGAGGTCTTCACAGAATTCTTTCCTGGTGAGTCACCTCCCTCATGATCTGAGCCCACCCTGTGCATTCCTCCCCCATGTCTGTCCTCAGTCCTCCCTCAGCTGGAGGTATTTGGCTGCTCTTTCATCTTTGTGCCCCTTATGTTCTTCCACCCTTTAGCCCCCCAATGTCTCCTGACCTTTATTCTCTGCTCGGCACCCAGGCTGTGTGGTCCATCCTTTCGGCTCTTCCATAAACAGCTTTGACGTCCATGGCTGTGATCTTGACCTCTTCCTGGATCTGGGTGACTTGCAAGAGCCCCAGGTGAGTGTCGAGGGAGGTAGTCAGTGGGAATGGCTATGTGACCCTGGGCAAGCACGTGACCTCTCAGCCTTAGTTCCTCAGCTGTTCCGTGGGGGTAATGGGACCTGCCTGCAGAAAGGGTTATCATAATTTGAGAAATGTGAATGTGGATGTGTATTACATAGGATGAAAATGAATTGACATGAACTAGATGGCATTTGCAACAGGAAAAAAAAAAATCAAAATGGCATGTATAATATGTTATTTTGGAAAAAAAATATAGCCCTGGCCCGTTTTTCTCAGTGGTTAGAGCAGTGGCTCTTGGACCAAAGGGTTGAGGGTTTGATTCAAGTCAAGGGCATGTACCTGGGACGTAGATTCGATCCCTGTCCTGTTTGGGGTCCTGGTTGGTGTTTCTCTCACATCGATGTCTCTCTCCCTCTCTCCTTCCTTCCTTTCCACTCTTGCTAAAATTTAATGGAAAAATATCCTTGGGTGAGGATTAACAACAACAACAAATATATATGACAGGACATACAATAAGGTAATTTTTGGGTTATGTTTGCTTATCTGTACAAAGTTCCCATATATCTCCTGCCCCACAAAAAGGATTATTTTTATTTCATTTATTTATTTATTTTTAATCCTCACCCGAGGATGCTTTTACATTAATCCTCAGAGAGAGCTGGAGGGAGAGGAGGAGGAAGAAAGAGAGACAGAGAAACATCAGTGAGAGAGACACATTGACTGGTTGCCACCCTCACAACCCCAGCTAGGGCCGGGGATGAACCGCAACCAAGGTACGTGCCCTTGGCCGGAATTGAACCCAGGACCCTTTGGTTTATGGGCAATGCTTTTACCACTGACCCATACCAGCCAGGGCTTATTTTAATTTTATTATTAAAAAAAAATTTTTTTTTCTTTATTGGTTTTTAGAGAGAGAGGAAAGGAGAGGGAGAGAGAGACAGAAGCATCGATGAGAGAGAGCATCGACTGGCCGCCTCCTGCATGCCCCCCACCTGGGATTTGGCCCACAACCTGGGCATGTGCCCTGACTGGGAATCAAACCAGCAACCTCTTGGTGCATGGGTTGGTGCTCAACCACTGAGCCACACTGGCTGGGCAAGGGTTATATTTAAAATAAAATTTCTTTTATCATTCTCTCTCTCTCTCCACACACACACACACAATATTTTCTGAATCAATTGAGAGTAGGTTGCATACATCAATGCCTTTACCCCTTAATAGTCCAGTGTGTGCCACCTAAGAACGAAGGTATTCTAGTGTCTAAGCACAGTAGTTACCAAGCCGAGGAAATGTCACACTGGAATAAGTACAGAGCTCTACGAAACTTGAATGTACAGTACATACTCCCGTTCTGTCAGCTGCCCTGACAGTGGACTGTAATGTTGTCGCTCTAGTCTCCTTTCATCTGGAACAGTTTCTCTATCTTTTCTGGCCTTTCTTGACAATAACGTTTCTATAGAATACAGATCATTTATGTTATGTCATTAAAAGGTTAGTTTTACTTTAAAAATTAAAGTATTGTGAGGATTAAATGAGTTAATACGCATAAATGAACATATATGTATAATATGTTCATTTCCATCCACAGCCAGCCCCAAAGGCTCCAGAGTCTCCGTCCTTGGACTCGGCCCTTGCATCCCCACTGGATCCTCAAGCCCTGGCCGGCACCCCGGCCTCCCCTTCAGACTCACAGCCTCCAGCTTCTCCCCCAAACTCGGAAGCCCTGGACTTTGAAATCCCTTCCTCCTCCCTGGCACCCCGGACTCCAGACTCAGCTTTGGCCTCTGAGACCCTTGCTTCTCCCCAGTCCCTGCCTCCAGCCTCACCACTGCAGGAGGACCGGGGAGAAGGGGACCTGGGGAAGGTTCTGGAACTAGTAGAGGCCCTGAAGGGGGAGAAAACAGAGCAGGGAGCCATGCTGGAGCTGGTGGGATCCATTCTTCGGGGCTGTGTTCCTGGAGTGTACCGAGTCCAAACTGTGCCCTCTGCCCGACGCCCTGTGGTCAAGTTCTGCCATCGGCCTTCAGGTCTCCACGGTGACATCTCCCTCAGTAACCGGTACCTTTGTTTAGGGGAGTGGTTGGGGAAGGCCAGCTGAGCATTCTGGGGTGGCTGAGGAGGGAGCCTTGGTGTGGGAGCTCCTGCACCTGCTGAGCCTCCAGGTTGTCCTTATTTGGTTCCATCCCTCTTTCTGCCACTCATCTCCTGTCTGGCTGCCATTTCCATGTTCATAAAGTGTGTTTTTTGGAAAATATTTTTAAGAGATTTAGAGAGTTCTATGGTTGAATAAGTTTGGGAAATGTTAAGTTAAACACAAATAGGTTTCTCCTTTCCCTCCCTCTTCCCCACTTCCTCTTTCTCTCTTCCTTCTTCCCTCTTCTCCTTTCCTCCCTTTCTCCCTCCCTGTCTTTGTTTCTTTGTATACTGAAGTTATGAGCAGTCTTATAATGACGTGGTCCCTGAATGTCCAAGATGGGCACATAGGGCTTGTAGCATGTAGTGTACCCTCTCACAAGATCAGTGTGTTGGCAAACACTTGGGAAACCCTCTCTTGGCCTTATTCCTGGTTCCCCTTACACTAGTCTGGAATAACAGCTGGGGGTGATAGGTCCAGAGGGTTCCTCAGCCTTAACATCCTTGTCTCCTCTTTGTCCCAGGCTGGCCCTGCATAACTCCCGCTTCCTGAGTCTCTGCTCTGAGCTGGATGAGCGAGTACGGCCCCTGGTGTACACCGTCCGCTGCTGGGCTCAGGGTCGAGGGCTGTCAGGTGAGAGTTGGGACAGCCCTGGTGCCTGATTTGGTGTTGGGGCAAAGGAGAGGGGAGGCACGTACAGAAACCAAGGTTGAGAAAAACCACCAAGGAGGGGATCGTAAGCACCTCTAATCTAACGCATTATTGATTGTTTACCCAGGGAGTGGCCCCCTTCTCAATAACTACGCCCTGACCTTGCTCGTGATCTATTTCCTTCAGACCAGGAACCCTCCTGTATTGCCCACTGTGACCCAGCTCACCCAGAAAGCAGGTACAGCAGCCCTGCCTCCACCCTCTCTATCGTTAGCTTCATCTCCTCTTCTTTGTCTCATGTAGACACACTAAGCTACACTGGGAATGAGATCTCTGTTATCACCCTCCTTTTCCCCCAGTCTTCAGTTTCCAGGCTGACCCTCACCTCTTTTATTTCCACAGGTGAGGGTGAACAGGTGGAGGTTGATGGTTGGGACTGTAGTTTCCCCAGAGATGCTTCAAGACTGGAGCCCAGCACCAATAAGGAGCCCTTGAGTGAGTTTGGGGACTAATAAAAGATGCTAATCACTACAAGGTAACATTCATTCCACAGTAACTGTGGGCCGGGCATGGTTCTCACAGCAGCCTTGGAGGACAGCTAGTGTTGTTACTGCCATTTCACAGATGCAGAAACCATGTCTTGGAGTAATGAAGTGGCTTGCCCAACGTTACAGTGCCAGCAAGGGGAAGGAGCAGCATCTGAGGAAGGATGTTGCTAGGGGCACAGAGAGAGCTTGGCCTCTTGTTTATAGGGATCACAGAGGCCTGGCTTCTGGCACTTATTGTGAGTCACTTGCAAGGGAGAAAGAAAGTCCTGCTAAGAGAATGGCTTTGGGTCAGGGCCTGTCTCAGTTCTGGCCTCCTAGTAACCCCTTTTTCCTGGTGTTCCTCCTTCTCCAGGTTCCCTGCTAGCCCAGTTCTTCTCCTGTGTCTCTTGCTTGGATCTTCGTGGCTCACTGCTGTCCCTGAGGGAGGGTCAGGCACTGCCTATAGCAGGGGGCCTGCCCTCTAATCTCTGGGAGGGTCTGCGTCTCGGCCCCATGAATCTCCAGGATCCCTTTGACCTGAGTCACAATGTGGCAGCCAATGTAACCACCCGGGTCGTCGGGCGGCTACAGAACTGCTGCCGAGCGGCAGCCAATTACTGCCGAAGCCTCCAGTACCAGCACCGATCTTCCCGGGGTCGGGACTGGGGACTGCTCCCCCTTTTGCAGCCCAGCTCCCCTAGCTCCCTGCTGTCTGAAACACCAATCCCCTTACCTACTGCTCCCTTCACCCAGCTCACTGCTGCCCTGGTCCAGGTGTTAAGGGAAGCACTGGGGTGTCATATAGAACAGGGAACCAAGAGACTGCGGTCAGAGGGAGGTGGAACTGGAGATTCTCCCCGGGGAGAGTCATGCAAAAGGTTGAAATTAGATGGACAGAACAAAGGCTCTGAAGAGAGGGCGCAGGAGCAGAAGGGCTGTGCAGGGGACCACAGTGAAGACGGGGTGGAAGAAATGGTTATAGAGGGTGGAGAGATGGCGCAGGACTGGGCCATGCAGAGCCCTGGGGAGCCAGGGGAGCCTCCCCTGACGACTGCAAAGCTGCTAGCCACTGGAGAAGAAGAGCAGTCAGGCCACACAGTGCTAGCAGAACAGGGCCCCAAAGGACCTCGCGCAGCCCAAGAAGGGTCCGAGGTTGAGACAAGGAAGGGGGCATCACTCTCATCAGTAAGCTGGCGCTGTACCTTGTGGCACCGAGTATGGCAGGGGCGGCGGCGTGCCCGAAGATGCTTACGGCAACAAACCAAGGAAGGTGGTGGAGGCGGTGCTGGCACAGGAGTTGAGTGGCTGGCAACTGAGGCTCGGGTAACCCAAGAGCTGAGAGCATTGAGCAGTGCTGAACAGAGGCCAGACACCGAGCCACTCCTGACCTTTGTGGTGTCTGTCTCCCAGGCTGACCAGGCTCTCACTGTGACCCCACTCCAGGATTCCCAAGGCCTGTTTCCAGATCTCCATCATTTCTTACAGGTTTTCCTCCCTCAAGCACTTCGAAATCTCCTTAAGTGAAGATAGGGACCCTAAAAGGCAATAAAGCGGCTAGTTTAATAAACACTACAGTTTCTTCTAATTTCCACCGGGTAACAATCCTCCTTCCACCTTGTCCACTCCCCAACCTTAATGCAGTCTTCTCAGAAGTGTCTTCTCTGGTCACCCTGAACTAGGTCTCAGCCTGTTTCCTTCCTACCATTTATCACAACTTGGAGGGAGTGGCTAGGATCATTTGTGTCTGGTACCTGGAGCCCACATAATAGAGTTCTGGAATGACGGAGTGGGGGTGGGAGGTATTGAACAATACCCGTGAGAAAAAACGGGTTTGCCTCCATTTTTAGGTTGCAGGTTTTCAGACCTGAACGAGCGGAAAGGGTAATCCATCCATTTGTCTTAAATTGTCAGCTCCTTCAAGGTGATAGGAGGTGGAAGGGAAAGCGCTGTTCTCCCGAAGCCCCTCCCGTTGCAGGCCCGCGAACTAGTGCCCCTTCCTCCCGCAGGAACAGAACCCGGGAGCTGCAAGATAGGGTAATATTAGGGAGAAAACCTCAGTTTAACAGAGCTTCAGACTTGGGCTCGGGTTAGACATTCATCCTTTCTAGAAAGAAAACCATAGCGGTCAAA